AATGTTAACCATAACCATAGCATCATATATTGTTTGCATTTGTTATATATGTACACTATTACCATAAGATTGATATATTATTCTCTTATCTTCAATAAATTTCTTTCTTGGTATCAGAGCATGTAAGTTTTGAAGGCTTTTGATCCAATGCAAACCATGACATATGTTCTAGATTCAAATAACAAAAATTGATATTTTATCCATTATGTATTAAAACATGTAATGTAATTATTATTAATGATTGATTTTATATAAATAAAATCAAGTAATTTACATTTATTGCACTATTGTACAAATAATTTTTATGATGACCTATTATGCCAATTATAATCCACTAGAAAAGTGACGTGGTGATAAATTTATAAATATGATAAGATTTTTTATGCCAATTATCACTAGAACCGACATAAAAAGTGAGTATGATGACATTTTCGTAATAAAGTAAAAGACTTTTTATATGAGTTATCATTGGAACCGGCATAGAAAGTGGACACAATGACAATTTCGTAATAAAATATTATATTTTATATGCTGATTATACCAAAACTAGTATACAAAGTGGGTGCGTATATTATTTTAATTTAAAAATACATATTATGCCAAATTTTCACTACAACTAACATAGAATTTTTAATTTTCATATTCTCTCTTCTCCTCCTTGCACAACACTTCATTGTTCGGCTCACAATATTCTCCTCCCTCACACCACTCTTTACTCTCATTGGTGGCTCGCGTCTTCTCCCTCTCGCTACACTTGGTTGTCACTCTCATTATCTTTCTCGATGATGATGACAACTTTCGTTCTCACAGAGGTCGTTGTCGTTGTGTTGCTCTTACTCTCGTAGACCCTTAGTGCTCTCGTAGGTATTAGGTTTTAGGGTTTTGAGTATTTCCTATCTCAAGGGAACTCTATAGATTTTAGTCTTCAATGGAGTGGCCTCGCCATTATCCTTCGTTGTTGTCTTCTCCCAATCCCTTGCTTTGTTTCACTCCTTCTGTTTTCCCAGATTAGGAATTTTGATTTATGAAATTAGTTATCCATATTAAGGTACTTCATTGTTTTTATGTTTATTGATTTATGAAATCATCTATCAAACACAACAATCATGAAGCAGAGGTAATGAAGTAAGAAATGAATTGCAACAATGGTGTTACGGGTTTGAAAGTAACAAACAATGATGAAATTAAGGTTTAATGAAAATCTTAATAATAAGATTTTCTATGGCGGTTGTGTCTAAACCAATATAATATATCAATATCAATTTCAAAGTCTAACATAATTTCTTTTAACCGATATAAAACGTCTTTGTTATACTAATGTTAATTAAATCAGTATTATTATTAGATGCATAAGGTGGTATGATTATTCATTAATTAGTAAAAGATTGTGTTACACAACAACATAATACAAAATAACCAATTTAATGTTTAAGTACCTTTATTATAAGCAAAATTGTTAATATAATACTTTTAGGTATCGTTCCAATCTTAATATCTCAATTAAACATTAATCAATATACGGTAGAATATAAATATCTATTAAACCTTTTTCTATCAATAGCTATTAAACCTTTTTCTATCAATACACACATTTTTTTTGTCAATAATTAATATAATTTAAATAATTATGTTTATTTCGATTTCTTTGTCAATAATTAACATAATTTAAATAATTATATTTATTTTGGTTTCAAATCTACTGAAATAGTATTGTTCAATCGATATTATATTAAACATATTATTTGCTTTGAGGTTTAAAGTTCCTATGACAATTCTCAGATGATTATTGAAAGAGTAAAATATATTTAAATCATTTTTAACTTTAACTTCTAAATAATAAAATTACTAGAAATACCAAAATAATTTTAAATAATTGAAATGTAATAAATAAACTAGTTTAAGTTATAAGTAATACACATTTTCTTTAGTATTTTATCCTTTTTGGTCTTTTTTTCTCTTTTATAACTTTATTCTTTAGTTATAAATAGGTTAAATTATGTTTTGGTCTTTATTTTTCTATGAAAATATCAAATTAATTTATATTTTTTTTATGTGTCTCAATTTATTTTAGAAAATTTGACACAATCAAGCAGATTTTCTTAGTAATTTTTTTTTCATTTTTTATTTTCTATTAAAATAAATATATTATGTGTCAAATCAGTATCTTGTCATGTAGTCATGACAGTGACAGTGTAACTGTTATCAATATCACTACTACACTAAGTATCATCTTAATCCTAATTTTGTATAATGTATTTTTATTTTTTTTAATTCAATACTACTTTTTCGAACAATTTTGTCTTTTTTTCAAATTGAGACTAAATTTACTTTTTATATAAATAATATACAAATATTTTTATTAAAATTAATATTTTTATTAAATACATTAATAAAAGTTAAGTTCATTTAAATTTATATTTTACATTGAATTTTATTTTAATTTTTTAAAATTTATATTTTGCATTAAATTTTATTTGTATTAATATTTTATTACATTGTTTTATTTGAATTTATATTCAAACAATTTCATATTTTTAAAACGTGTAAAATTCAATAATTTCTATATAAATGGTTGAGTTGATTTAAAAATAACAATTTTATAAATTCAAATCTAAAATTTTAAAATAATTTTATAACAATTTGAAACAAATAAATTTAAAATTTTAAAAGTTTTAAATAAATTTCAATGTAAAATATAAATTTAAATAAAAATATGTATATAATATTTATATAAAAGTTAAACTTAGTATCACGAGAAATAAAATTATTCAAATTATAAAAGAAATTGAAACGAGTGAGAAACAAAAATAAAAACATAAGAATCAAATTGAGATTATGATAATGAAGATTGACTAGTTACATTGTCATTGTTCACTGCTATAATAAGATTCTAACTTGACACATGATATTTTTTTTAAAAAAAACTAAAAAATCACAAATTTACACTAAAAATACATTAACCAATTTGAAATTTTTGTAAGAAAATAAAAATTAAAGACGTAATTAAACCTTATAAATACATCCGTAAAAAAACAAACATTTATTAACAATAAAAAAAAAACACCAACTCACGAGAAGTATATCAACAAATTTAAGTATATGTATCATTTCATCTCAACTTTAATAAATTTCACGTTAAGTATTGTAAGATATTAGTAAGCTTTTACATAACAATTAATATAAGAATAAATAAGATGTGTACATTTAACTTTTTCTTCCTTTTAAAGTAAAGTTTGTTTAACTTTTCAAATACACTTTTAAATAATTTAAAAGTATAGTCTTCCATAAGCTAGTAAAATAAAGCATTTACATTAAGAAAAACTTTTAAAAGATTGCATGTATTTTTCTTTTATAAAAGACTATGTACAAAGAAGGAAAAACTATTACAAAGTAACAAGTTTTCCTTTGATTATTACTATTTAATTTTCTTTTCTATAGTAGTAAAATATGAATCAAACTATACTCATTAATACATTAGCACCTGAAGCAAAACAAGCATCATGAGAGGATTTATTCAAAGTCTCAACAATATTTATTGATGACGATCCCCTTCTTGCAAGTAAATTCAGAACAATAATTGCTGATGATTTATCATGATCCAATAAGTCCTTCATATCCAAAATAAGGAATATCATTTATTTATTTATTTCTCAATAAATCACATATTCGTTGTCAATAAATAATATATATTAAATAATTATGTTTGTTCCAATTTTAAATTTATTAATATATATTATTAGGATTAATTACTACATACTTTGAAACTTGAAATTCTATTATAATTTTATTTTCAATTAATTTTAACTTCAATTTGTAATCAATGAGACTATTCAAAATATTAAAAGTAAATTTAAATCATTAATACATAATTAATAAACTAGTTTAAGTTATAAGTGCATCGGGAGCAGTTTCTGGAAACATTTTTGCTTTTCTTACTGTGTTTCAATCTTTTTTCTTCTCTTTTGTGTTGTTATTATTTAGAGTTAAAAATGGATCCTCTAAACTAAGCGGTTTCAATGAAAACCACGATACCAGTACATTGTCCAAACTCAATTTCAAATAAAAATAACGATACTTGAGAATATATTTTGATAATATTTTAATATTATATATTAGTCTAAAATTATTTTATAATTAATAATAATTATTATAAACATTAACAATAATACCGTAAATAATGGTAAAATATTAAAAAAAATTATCGAAAATGGTCATCTTCCAAAAGAATTCATGATTCGACTTCGATTTCAAACACACCATTCTATGCACTATGTGACGAAAGCATAGACAACCATGCAAGGTTTTCCTATAAATGTGAGTGTGGAACCAGACAACTATCATACAAAGGTTGCAAAATCAGTGTGCGACAAAACTTCTTTCCACTTCTACAAACATTTACTTAAGAAACAAACGTTTTCGTTTTAAAAAAGTGATTTTCGTTAGGATTTAATCATCACTGTTAAAAAACTATATTTATTTATTTTTAAAATTTAAAAATCAAACCGAAAGAAAAATCAATTCTAACTTTATAGTGATAAAAACATATTTAAATCTTTATAATATAATATTCTTCTTAACTTAAGTTTGTGACGCATTTTTTGAAATTGATATGAGATTAAAGAGTTTTAAGAAAATATTTTTACATTAAAAAAAGACAAAAAAGGAGAAGAACGCGTTTAGCAAAAGAGAAAACTGCTGAGTTGTGTCTTGTTCTTCCTTCTTCTCCATCGTTTCCATCATCGTTTTTTCTTCTACTTATTACCGTTTCTTCTTCTCTTCAACTTCACTCCAAAAACAGGCTCCATTTCTCTCTCTATCTCTCTCTGTCAGATGTTTTCTGCTTCTTCTCTTACTATCTCTTCTTCCTCTTCTTATTCTTCTTCTCCTCCTTCTTCTTCTTCTTCTTCTTCTTCTTCTCCTCATTGCCCTTCAGTGATCAAAGGCAATTCCCTCATGCAATTTCTCTTCGTTGTCTTAGTGCTCCTTTTCACGTTGCAAAACGACGCCTTTGCGGTCGATTCGGACAAATCCGTGCTCCTCCGTATGAAGGCGTCGTTGTCCGACCCCGCCGGCGTTCTCTCCACGTGGACCACCGCTGACGGTTCTCACTCCGGACACTGCTACTGGTCTGGCGTCCTCTGTGACGCGAACTCCCGCGTCGTCGCCGTCAACGTCACCGGAAACGGCGCCAGCCGAGCCTCGCACCCGTGCTCCGATTCCTCTAAACTCCCCCTCTACGGTTTCGGAATTCGGCGAACATGCAAAGGTAGTAAAGGTTCTCTCTTCGGAAACGTTTCTTCTGTTGGTTTCGATTTCATCAGTGAGCTCACGGAGCTTAGGGTTTTGTCTCTCCCCTTCAACGCGTTGGAGGGGGAAATTCCCGAAGCAATTTGGGGCATGGAAAATCTAGAGGTTCTCGATTTAGAAGGGAACTTGATAAGTGGTTATCTTCCCTTGAGAATTCACGGTTTGAGGAAGTTGAGGGTTCTGAATCTTGGGTTTAATAGGTTTATTGGGGAGGTACCTAGTTCAATTGCGTCTCTTGAGAGTTTGGAGGTTCTGAATTTGGCTGGTAATGAATTGAATGGTTCTGTGCCTGGTTTTGTCGGGAGGCTTAGAGGGGTGTATCTTTCGTTTAATCAGTTCAGTGGGGTTGTTCCGCGAGAGATTGGGGAGAATTGTTGGAAGCTTGAACATTTGGATTTGTCTGGGAATTCGTTGGTTCAAGGGATTCCGGGGAGTTTAGGGAATTGTGAGAGGTTGAGGACGCTTTTGCTGTATTCCAATTTGTTGGAAGAGGGTATTCCTGGTGAGCTTGGGAAGCTCAAGAGCCTTGAGGTGTTGGATGTTTCCAGGAACACTCTCAGTGGCTCTGTGCCGAGGGAGCTTGGGAATTGCTCAGAGTTGTCGGTTCTTGTGCTGTCAAATCTCTTTGATGTTCGGGGTGATGCTGCCGGTGATTTTGGGAAATTAGGTTCAGTGAATGATGAGGTGAATTATTTTGAAGGGTCAATGCCACTGGAGGTTTTTTCGCTTCCAAACTTGAGGATATTGTGGGCTCCCATGGTGAATCTGGAAGGCAGTTTTCAAGGGAACTGGGGTGGTTGTCAGAGCTTGGAGATGGTAAATTTGGCTCAGAACTTTTTGAGTGGGGAATTTCCGAACCAGCTTGGTGTCTGCAAGAGGCTGCATTTTCTTGATTTAAGTGGAAACAACCTTACTGGGGTGCTTTCTGCAGAACTTCACGTTCCCTGTATGAGTGTTTTTGATGTTAGTGGGAACATGTTATCTGGCTCAGTTCCTGATTTCTTCAATACCGTTTGTCCCCCTGTTCCTTCTTGGAATGGAAACCTGTTTGAAGATGGGAATGTTTCCTCGCCATATGCCTCGTTTTTTTTGTCAATGGTTCATGAAAGATCACTTTTTACATCAATGGGGGGAATTGGTACTTCTGTTGTTCACAACTTTGGGCAAAACAGCTTTACCGGTATTCGGTCGCTACCCGTACCTCATGACAGGCTGGGGAAGAAGAATGGTTACACGTTTCTTGTTGGTGGAAATATTCTTACAGGAACATTTCCTACATATTTATTTGAGAAATGTGATAGACTAGACGCATTCCTTTTAAATGCCAGTTATAATAATATATCTGGTCATATACCTTTCAATATCAGTCGAATGTGCAGATCATTGAAATTTTTGGACGTGTCTGGAAATCAACTTGCGGGACCTATTCCTGTTGATTTAGGGAATGTTGTATCCCTTGTATCGCTAAACCTCAGTAGGAATCAATTACAAGGTCAAATTCCCTCCAGCCTTGGCCAGATGAAGAATCTGAAGTTTCTCTCTTTGGCTGGTAATAAGTTAAATGGCTCAATTCCTACCAGCCTGGGGCAGTTGTACTCTTTGGAAGTCTTTGACCTCTCTTCAAACTCTCTTACTGGTGAAATTCCAAAGGCTATTGAGAACATGAGAAATCTGACTGATGTTTTGCTCAATAACAACAATCTTTCTGGTCATATTCCTGATGGTTTGGCACATGTCACTTCACTCTCAGTATTCAATGTGTCTTTCAACAACTTATCTGGATATTTTCCTTCCAACAGTGGCTTGTTTAAATGCAGCAGTGCTGTTGGGAATCCATACCTAAGTCCCTGCCGTGGACTGTCTCTGACTGTGCCATCAGGGAATCAGTCAGGGCCGATTGATAGCAGCTCTTATAATTCGGAAACAGAGCAAGCTAATGGCAAGAAGAGTGGGAGTGACTTCAGTTCTATTGAAATAGCATCTATAACTTCTGCTTCAGCCATTGTTTCGGTACTTATAGCCCTGATTGTTCTATTCTTTTACACACGGAAGTGGAAGCCAAGGTCCAGGGTTGTTGGCTCTACAAGAAAAGAAGTTACAGTGTTTACTGATATTGGGGTCACATTGACATTTGAAAGTGTTGTCCAAGCCACAGGAAATTTCAATGCTGGAAACTGTATTGGGAGTGGAGGTTTTGGAGCAACATACAAGGCGGAGATAGCATCAGGAATCCTGGTGGCAGTCAAACGACTCGCAGTTGGACGTTTCCAAGGTGTTCAACAATTCCATGCCGAGATCAAGACCCTTGGGAGGCTTCATCATCCTAACCTTGTCACTCTGATTGGTTATCATGCTTGTGAAACAGAGATGTTTCTCATATACAATTATTTGCCAGGTGGTAATCTCGAAAAGTTTATCCACGAGAGGTCCACGAGGGCTGTAGACTGGAGAATTCTTCACAAGATTGCATTGGACATTGCCAGAGCACTTGCCTATCTGCATGATCAGTGTGTTCCCCGTGTTCTTCACCGTGATGTGAAGCCCAGCAACATCTTGTTGGATGATGATTTCAATGCTTATCTATCGGACTTTGGATTGGCTAGACTTCTGGGAACATCAGAGACACATGCTACCACTGGTGTAGCCGGAACATTTGGGTATGTTGCCCCTGAATATGCCATGACTTGCCGTGTTTCGGATAAGGCTGATGTGTATAGCTATGGTGTGGTGCTTCTGGAGTTGCTCTCAGACAAGAAGGCTTTGGACCCTTCATTTTCTTCTTTTGGAAATGGGTTCAACATAGTGGCATGGGCATGCATGCTATTGAAGCAAGGAAGGGCAAACGAGTTCTTCACTGCTGGGTTATGGGAAGCAGGACCTGGAGAGGATTTGGTAGAGGTTCTTCACTTGGCTATTGTCTGTACTGTTGACTCTCTCTCCACCAGACCTACAATGAAACAAGTTGTGAGAAGGCTCAAGCAGCTTCAACCCCCATCATGCTAGTCCACTTCTGTGGCTTCATCTTTTAACATTATTAATCTTAGAAATATTGTAATTTGTAATTTAGCATTTTTGTGGATTTAGGTTGATTTCTCAATTTGTACTTATTCTCCCCTTGTACATTTTTATATAGTTGTGGCCCCAATTTTGCATACTCTTTTCTTGATTCGGTGATAGTTTGCTTGGTGTTGACTGTTGAATCTGCAGAAGAATGCAGATATTTGATTCCCCTCTGGACATGTGTATTTGTTCAATAAAATTGAAAAATAGAATCTGTATTTTGAATTGTTTTTTCTTTTGTCTGCTTCTGCTAAATTTGAGTATCATAAAATAAGGGTGCTGCTAAAGTAAGTGTTCTGCTAGTCTCTATTCTATTTGTGTGCCATAGAATACTATCGCTCAAAAGTCAAAATAAGGTTCTTGTACAGTAAAATTTATGTATGAATACAGTAAGTAATATATACAAGACTTGCACAAAGATTACAAAGTTACTCGAACTTGAGAGCTGCATTTAAATTGAATATAATTTCATATTAGTTGATCCATGTGTTTAATATGCTAACATTTTAAATCTGAAATTCACTATAACATATTTTGATTAGTTAAAACAACATTTAAAAACCTGATTTAGAGTGATTCTTTTGATTAAAATATATCACATTCATCCTTTAACATTTTTTTCATGCATTCATCCAAAAACGAATACGATCTCTCGTTCTGTATATAAGAAACAAATAATTATCTATGAATACTAATAAAAATAGTTAAATCATATAGTTTTAATTCATAAGATCATAAATTTAATTTTATTTCAAAGATAGTCATAAAATAATTTAAGTGTTATTTAATGAGATCATTCATAATTCAATGAATAAATTTTCAACCGTAAGAATAACGTATATTGTTAATGACTCAACAATAAATGCATTTATGATAAACAAGTGAACGTTTCATTAATATATTCCACAATAGATTAATGATAAAAAAGAAATTAACTTGCATTTAAAAGTTGTTACATGTTTCATATATTTAGAGGGAAAAAACAACTCTGGTTTGTTTCTTATGTGCATGATGACCCTGAGTATGTTTTAAAAACTAATTATTTCTATTTTAAAAAAATTGTTAAAGACAATTTTTGAAAATATCAGCAAATTTTAGGAATGTGATTTTTGAATTATAAAAAAAATAAGAAAAACATCTAATTGTGAAAAAAAAGGTTAGATCAATTTAGTTCCATTAAAGGATGTTTGGTTAGATTTTGGAGAAACAACATTTGAATCATTAACCATCCACAAATGTAAATGAATGAATTTGATCAATTATTTCTTTTAATTAGATTTAATAAATATACTAAAAAATAGGCTAGATGGTTTATTGACAAATAAATTATTTTTTCCAATTTTTATATTGAGTATTTTTCTTACACTTATATTAGACATTATTATAAACTTTGACATCTCAACTATACTCATACCTCAAAACTTATTAATCATTTGTCATGAAAATTTATTTAAAAGAAAAAAAGAAAAAAATACAAAGCATGAAAGTCACATCAAATCTATGATAAAAGTTATAGTTCACAAAACATAAACAAACTATTCTTATTGTGAAAAAAAATCTAAATAAATACACGGAGGTAAAACATTAAATCACTTATATTATTTTCTATAAATAAAAGCTAAATTATCTAACTTATCAAGATGATGATTTCTTTTACGAAAAATATGATAAACTTTGAATTACATATACGTACAAAAATGCAAGCACCGATGTAATCTCCTTCTAAGTTTCCAATAAACCACTCGTTAATAAAAAAAACATAACAAATTAAAGAAGAATAACTTTCCAACTAAAACCTCTCAAAGTCCTCATCCAATAATTAATACAATAAGTTTGAAGTAATAGCTGAATAAGGGGGAAGATGATACTATTGTACATATGATAGAGCAACTATATGATACATCAAATAGTAAAATGGAAACATCATAGATGACATAGTCCAAACACATCAATTAATTGCAATTCAAAGGTTGGCTAAGGTCACTCAAATGTGTAGACATGAAATACAAACACTCTTGTCCTAAGAGATCACTTCACATACATGAATTTCTATTTCTAAATCGTTTAATAGATGACTTTGTTAAGCACTTAGAATCTTATAAGAATGAAATAATTGTTAGTTATGCATATTCATTAATCTTATTTGGCTATCAATTTTTCATATGCATTGTCCAACTTGTATTTATAGACATCATAAAAATATTTGTTATGGCCTAATGCTTCTATGTTGTCTTTTGTGTCGAAGTTTTCAATTATGGATGAGCTCCTTTGTTAAGGAAAAGAACATGTTTTTATTTAGGTAATTATATTGTTCACAATGACCATGCTGCAACTAGAATACAACACTTAAAGGTAGGTTGTATGTGTCTTAGGATCCACTTTGAAAATTTATAATGTATTGTAGATAACAGGAGAAATACAAAAAGGCGAGGTTGAAATGTGTTTCAAAATCCTTTTAAAACTTTTTTTGTTTGCAAAGTATACTTTGATGCTTGGTAGTAAGACAACAATTTGTATAACAAACAATTTGTTAGTGAATTTTCAAAATTCTTTTTAGTTAATAGAGACAAAATAACATCCAATGCAAATCAATTCTTTACCAATTAGTCAAATTCCACTAGGCACACTATTTTTGTAAAGTACGAAGGATAATTATTTTGGCTCATAGCTAGTCTTGGCTAACCCATCAAGTATTCTTTGACACTAAATCACTCTTGGCTAAAATCCCAAAAATTATTTGTGAATGTAACCACTATGGGCCTACTCATTAGAGTATTATTTAACAAACAATCACTCTTGGCTAAGACAAAGTTTATCTTTTTGATCAACAAATGACAAGTTTCACTCACTAAAGAGGAGTTGTGTCTTTCAACATTTACAAGGCTAAGCACTCTCTTCTAGTTTGCTAAATGTAAAAAACAAACTGTGACCCTACAAAGCTTTTAGGTGCAAATAAAAATTGTCATAATTTCAACACTTTCAAAACAATGACTTATCTTGCTAAATCTTTCTTTTTGAAGTATGTCTTTAAATAAGTGTTTAAAGTTATTATGATAACTTTTCTGTCTGTTGCATAACTTTAAACTCATTTTGAATATATCTTCCTCTCCATCAATTGTTTGTTGAGCTTGATCATTGAGAATCGTTGAATGCACTTCATGCAACAATAATTACTCTTCTCTTTAGATTGCATAAATTTTTACTCCAAATCATGGCAAAAACACACATCGTATTATTGGTGTATTGTGGCTCTAGAAAGGGGATGAATAGAGTGTGTAAATAAATTCAAACAACGTAAATAAAAATATTCAAAGTAAAGAGTACGATAGAGAAAAAGCATACACAAGTTTTTTACTACATCAAGTCTCTTAAGCAACCTACTTAAGATATTCCACTAATCACCACTTAGCGAGTATCACCATTTCTAGGTTACAATGAATTTCAATCTCTTTAGGTATCACAAGTATAAACCTCTCTAAGCTACACCGAATACCAATTTCTCCAAGTATCATTATCAATCTCCCTTTGAGTTCAAGAATTTTCAATTATATTGAATAATTAGAAAACAACTCTCACAATAGGAAAACACAATTTAACTCACATGTTTTGAAGACTTATATGTATAAATGCTCTCATGTTTTGAAGTTTAATAAAATAATATTAAACGAGATAAGAATCTGAAAATGCTTAACCAAAAGAATAAGATAGGCAGAAACATAAGTGGTAGGAACAAAATCCCCAATCATCCAACAATATAGAAAAGCCTTAGGAAAACACTTAGGGTTATAAGCAACTCAAAACAACTAAGTTAAAACTTCTAGACACAATGCTAAATAATTTACAAGTCAAAGCGTCTAAGAGAGTTATGCTAAACGCGTAAGCTATACGGTACTCAATGGAATCAGTTGAAATCTCAAGAAGTGAAAGGTGTTAAGATAATGTCTTTCACTAAACCCTTTAAAAGCCTCAATCAATAATCCAAAACCATGTAGAAAGCGAAACCTACTAAACGCTCTAGCTCTAAAAAGGCAATAACCCAAAAAACGTTTACAACAGACTAGATAATATCACGAGCTAAAATCTTTACTTCGTCCAATGATGAAGTTCTTATTCAACGCTGAGTATTTTAGAGAAAAACTTAAATGATAAACGCTATCTCAACGGTAGAAAATGTAAAAAGCACTTTGTTGATCTGAACAACATTAAATGTCATTAAATGCTCAACGTTCAAAACAACAAAAGTAATAAGAGATAAAACATATCTGCTGCATACACAATCTACTCTATTCTATGCAGATAACCTACTACACACATCTACATGCTTTATTTGAAAAATATCAAAAGTGGACGTTAGAGACAAAGAAGACATTCACAGAATGTTCTCCTCATAAGAAGTCATGTTTGAAAGATAGTACAACCTACTTCGAGCAAAGTACTGAAAAAGCAAGTTTGCTTTAACAAGTTGACTTTAACCAATGACTGCTTCACATGCGAGACAAAGAAGACACAATATTCAAGGCTAAAGAGTTCAGTCTAACAAATATATTTTGAAAAAGCCTTTAAATAGAAGACCATTCAAAGGAAGAATCAAGAGAATAACTTACAACGAAAAATATCATCCTACGAAAAACGTTTAAAAGAGAAGCACTGAAAAACTCAAGCTAAAAGAGAATATCAGAGAAGAGAAAAAGCAAAGTCAAGAAACACTCTCAAGCTTCATTGTAATATTTGCTTACTATTGTAAGAAGAGAGAAACACCTAGCGAGTCTATAGAAAGTATTGTATTGAACACATATCCTCTCTGTGAGAGTAATCGTATAAATGACTTGTAAATAATCGATTTATTATAATTTTGAAGATAATTAAAACACTTTGTTGTGTAACTCAAGCAAGTTAAGGAAATCTAGGTAGTGTATTAGAGGATACCAAGATTGTCTAGTACTACGAGTGGTGAAACTCAACCAGTCTAGGGTAACAAGAGTTATTCGTTGGCTAGAAATATCAAGAGTGGTGAAGAATACTACACAACCAATAGTGGGTGAAACTTAACTAGGCAGCGTATCAAGGGATATCAAGAGTACCTAAAGATACCAAGAGTGATGAGAATACTTTAATCCCTTATTCCTTATTCGACAATTTCACCTAGTATAAGGATCATCATGTGTAAGTATAATATTAATCCTTATATCATCATAGATATAAATTCAAAACATGATATATTAAGCAATAATTA